CAGTAATAGCGACGGATGATTCTGTTGATAATTACAGCTGTAATGATAACAACAATAGCAACAGTAATGACAGTAATGATATTAGTGTTGACGACAGCATTGATACCAACATTAAGCGTGTAAAAACAACAAGAATACCAGTAAACAGTAACATTAACACTGTAACATTAATTCAGATACTGGAACTAATAATGAAAATGATAATAGCTTCAACAAATAGATGGATTGAGTTATAGATAACTTCCAGTAAAGAGGTTATAATAACTGGAAGAAAAGCGTGGCATCGTGGTCGTGTAATGATCATTAACGAGCCATTAAATATGTGCAATAATATCACTCCGAAAGACCATAATTCAAATTAGAAGTAATTATATTCGATTGCTTGAGTGGCACATTGCTTGATGCCGAATGTTTCATTTCATTGCAATCACACAAAATTTTCCTCTGATGATTGATGGATCGAGATCGATTTGTGGTCGCTCTCATATATCGGTCACAATTCTCTAGTGTCAGCACCGTCATACATCATTTCAGGACCTCGACTACGAGTTTGCCTTATACGAGTTATGCTCTTTGCATGAAGTGGATTGTAATGGAATTGTATTTTATAGCATTAATTAAAAGTGTAGTTATAATAATAAGAGTATTAACTAAAATAATGCAGTAATAAAGCTGATAATGAAAATAATAATAAAATAATAGTAATGATTAATCAAATAATGAGTTTGAGGCACATCGCAGTGCTAATGATCATAACTGACATGATCGGAAACATTTGAGGATTTTTTTTAATCGTTTGTTTACCCGAACAATCTTAATGGATGCTCATTGCTTCACGCACGAGCGACTTTTGTGAATTCTCTCATGGTCAGAAAACTTGTCAGAATCAGCTGATATGAGCAACAGAGAATGATCGAATAAATGAAGTAGAACAGAGAGGGTAAACATTCATTACGCGATGAAAATGTCATCGCCCACAGTTGTCATACAAATATGACGATTGGGTTGGCTCAATATTAGAGATTTGACAAATGCGAAGAATTCACATTACGTAACCATCTTCGATGTTGACAAACGTTTAACACTTTAAAATATAAGCTAACTAAACAAATTTTCATGGGAAATTCAGCATTTGGCTTTCGGTTTCACACAGACAACACTAACCAGCGTACTCAGTTCTTATATTACGTTGATAATTGTCGATCGTTAGCGAGCATATAAATAAATGAATGACGACTATATGTAAATGAAGACGAAACTTCGATATGAATACAATTTGAAATATTGCTTGATATTGCTATTGTTAAAGTGATATTTGATTAGAATTTAAGGAACTCAATTCGTGAGAAGACATTAATTCTTGTTTCGAATTTTCTCGTCAAAAACAGAACCGAATAATATTCGCAAAATGATTCAGATACTTCAAAATCATCATGCTTTCATCGAGTAAACGAACAACAATCGGGAGAGATGATATTGCATGCTATCGCTTAATTTCGTATGACCCAAATATAGACTGGATATGAATTGAAATCATTCCAATTATTTTAATTTTTTAAAGTCATTTTCAGCTTTTCTCTAAAATCGTTACTTGCACTAATTTTCTCAACGGCCAATCATTGAATGGGACGAAGTAATTGATGAAACGAAAAGCATTAAGAAAGCATTAAGAAAAAGGAAGAAGAAATCTTATAAAAGTGATCATAAGCGAGTAGAACAAGAAATGAACACTGTTCACAGATATATTCGCAATCTTAACAAGAAATTAAGAGGATGCCCACTCAAACCACACCCCGTCGTTAACGAACCTTACTGCTCTAAACAACAACAATAATAATCTATCCCTATCTGTCTCAATTCCAATCCCAATCCCAATAGAGTCCGCCCCGATCCTAGAGGCACAGTCAACTAATTGTGTCAGTTCAGTTTCTTCATCGGAACGGGAAAAAGAAGAAGTGAAGGTCTGCAAGTAAACGTCTTATGAACAAAATCAAGCATGTTTACATTATTTATCAACTTTCTCCATTTTCACACATTCATTTTTTGAAATTATATCGAACAATTGAGAAAATTGATTCTGAAAGTGAATTCTAAATGGAAATTTGAGCTATTCGAGATGGTGAATTTGTGAATATGATAGTGAAATCTATCAAGATTCATGCCTTCCTCTTCATGAGTGTATGCTCGAATTCATTATGTGGACAAGTATCGCAATGATGAAAATTTGTTTTCAATCAAACGAAACTGAGTCTGCTGAAGAAAGTTCCATATACATTCTGCGATGATGTAAATTATTTATCAGTCACGATAATCGTGATCCTTCAAACCTTTGCAGATGAAATTCATCTGAAAAAATCATTGATAGAAGTTCCGAGAATGCACGTTGTCCACGAAAAATTCAATTAGAAGTTGACTGTTTACAGAATATGTGTGAAACACAGTAATTCATTTTTAGACGGGAATGCCAGAAAATTCCTCATTGTTTGTTTTTCAGACTTTTTCCTCATAATGTCAATGAATAGGTATTAGGAGCTTCTCACCGAAAAAGCATTAATTTCATGCCCTGACGTATAAGATTTCAGCACTTTCACCGATTGATTTTGCTTGTTATAAGAAGAAACCTTGAAACACCATCAAACACAATAGTTGCCATACACTAAAAATCGATCTGAAATCACCAAATATGCACTCTAAAATTCGTAATTTCATTAACGAGCAGCAACACAGCGTTAATTGAATTCTTTATATTCACTTTTAATAATAAGTTCAGATATCAAAAGCGCATGAAACGAACTGCAATAGCGCATTCTTCATCAAATGAAAATTGTTACTTAAATTTCACATGAATCCGATCAATCTATTCAGCAAATCAATGATACGGAGGGGAAAGGAGAGAGAGGTGATGGATTCGAAGAGGAAGTGAATGCAAATTTTAGTGTGGACATAATATCTCACCGTATGAGAAATCCTGGATTCACACTTATTTTTTCTATTTTTCTGATATTATTTTTATTAGTTTTTCTGAACCGCTAAATCTTTCCGTCGGTCAAATTGTGCTTTTCATCTGCTTTTGTCATTGTCAAGATGATTGATAATATTACATCTTTGCGGCACAACCAAACGAATACTAATGTATTCGTGATAGTTGCTTGCATGAATAACCGAGAATTATGGTTATGAGTTATAAGTATGGATGTGAGTTGAAGACGACGATTAATGGAGTGTAAAAACGAGTTGTGTCCTTAAAAGCACACTTACCTAATACGCCATCTTGAGCCAGCACCCATTCGTTTCTAGTCAATCGCTCAACAAATGCTCAGCAATACCACACATATATACTGTGCCACGAAATTAGATTACACAATGCGCAATATTTTATAGATACAATGATATCTACATCATAAAATACATAATTGTCATCGTATATATCTTGAATAGTATCTTGAAGGTTTGAGTAATTTTCAGAGCAATTAAATGAACCCCATCATTTCAGGTTATATTTAAATGTTGCACTGATGTATTATAGAAACGTGCAATTATCATTATTCACTTTCTTTTATACACATCATGTACTCTGTGTATTTTAGATATTTAAATCAATGATATAAGGAAGTTATTGAAATCAGAACTTGTTCGTTATTCATATCATTGCTGTTATCCGAATTGGTGAAGCAGTCGGCAAAATTGTCTCGAAGGAACTATTTATAGGAGAACTTTCAAATCATGCTCATTTAAAGCGCAGTAACCAGTGAAGATATAATAGAATGCTCTGATTGTGAGATCTCGATGAGATCGCTCTCTGAAATTCAAGCTAATTCATAGTCTCATTGTCGAAGCAAGATCAAATTCGACAAGAAAATTATTGAGCTGATCAAATGCCCATCGATAACAACGAATTTCAAAGCAGCAAACCAAAAGTAGCAAATCAAACTGCTGTTTATTCAGTTATCCATACATCCATTAATCGTAACTGCAACTGTGCAGCAATTCAGTCCAGCTCGCTCGTGCAACGCAACGCAATTCATAACGCATCCCTGAACCGTTAAATTACTCCTCTATAGACCTCCTTTCCATATGCTCTAATTTGCTCCCATTTTATTAATACAAACCTTGAAGCGGATATTATTATAAACCGTTAAGTAATGTTTCATATTTGTGGGCATTTCTTGAGACTACAATTGCAAATTTCCATACATCAGCTATACTTAATTCATTTGAAACGCTTACAAGATTATAACTGATCGAACTCAGTTTCGATTTATCCAATTTTCCCCCATATTGCAGTCTGCGTTTCCCGCTGCTTCAGCTGCTGATTTATCAAAGAAATCAGCGAGTAAATTTGACCGTTTCATCATGCTGACAACTCATTTGAGTCTTTTACTCATACTGATTTAAAAATCAGAACAAATGATGGATTTCAGTAACAATTTAGTAGTGAGATCTGAGAGCTATGTAAAAAAATCGCATTTATTTCATTCCAAATCACGTAATGAGTTTCAACTCAACAAAAAAATAACCATAAACATAGCAAAATGCACATAAATATGTACACATATGAACGATATATTCGTTCGAATAAAAAAAAACACGTTAAATGAAACAATTTTTGAATATTATCAACCACATCATTCTCAAATAAATATCAAAATATCATAGTAATGCAATAGAACAAACGGAATGGAGCATATAGGTCTGAAATTACGATTTGAAACAAAACGAATTTTCAACAAATTTGTTCATATCGGAATTGCATCTCCGTAACAAAATTCCCACTACCCACAATTACATCATAACAAATCTCATTCATCAACTTCCACTGTCCATCAAAATTTCACCGACAAAATTTCTCAGTTGAAGTCACAATTCGTTTGTTTTTTTTTGAATGAGAACGGAACATGCAGTAGTGAGTGCCAGAATATTAGTAATCCACAAACTTTACATAGTCTGAAATCCTCTTGAGTCAAGTTTTCAGCTTACAGATAAACACACGAGCAATCCCTTCAATCATTCGAATCATCTGATGACGCATTTTGTTTATCGTCTTCGGCAGGAAGCATCTCAATCTTCGTATCCTTATCATCGCCATTATCACTGTCCGCTTCTGTCGGATGAGAATTTGGAGGCTGACTGTCTTCTTCTCCATCACCTTGCCCTTTCTTTTCTTCGATTTCTTTCATTTTCGCGATTAATTCTGAAACAAATCGAATTTTTTCATTTGATGATAAACCAAATAAGTGCATCAGTGAGACTGATTCGCAGGCTCGAACCGTTCAGCAATAACTATAAAGTCTTCATGCGTTTCATATCCAAATGTGACAATCCATACATACAACCTACCTCTGTGTATGCCACTCATTAGAAAATCGTTCAGTCGTTATTCATTTTCCGTAACATTTTAATTTGGGGGCAACATAAAGATGAAAAGCTTACTCTCTTTAATCAATCACTGCTCTTAAAGAAATAGTTTGAAAAATGCACTCAGTGTGACCTAATATAAATGAAAAGGAGAAGTATGTTAACCTTTTGCAACGTTGAAAACACCTTTTGTATTTTCATCACAAACAAAACATCTCGGCGTTTTACGGAAATGTTTCAACGCGCATTTCTCACAGAAATAATGCTTGCACCTGTAAAAAGGAAAATAATACTAACAAATGAAAAATCGAACGAAGATCGAACAAAACAGACCAGTCGATTCATAAGAAAAAAGTATCTGTTCATTTTTAATGAATTACATCAAATATCAAACTTCAGTCAGCTATAAGATATCAAAAAAGTTCGAATGATTCTATTCTGTCAGAAGTAATATTCCAAATCAATAAAGATATTCGATAACATAATTGAATGAACGTGAACAAACCTCGTAACAACAGGATTCGTGAACGATTCTCTGCAAATGAAACACTTGAACGGTAATTTACAAGCATCTTCATCATCATCCTCATCACTGCTGTGTATCACATACTTATCAGGATCATCCTCAGCCATTCGTCCGGCTGCATAGTCCCTTTCGATTTCCCACCCGTGCTTATAGTCGGTTCGATCGTGCAAAAATTTACACGAATCTGAATGCAAACAATGGCTCGTTAAAGTATTATTGTAGTATCAAAGAAAACGTCAATATGATTTCGAATAGAAATACTGGAAACGAAGAGAGTCTTCAGATACAACTACCCACCTCCGAATGTGCAAAAGCCGGTTTCTTTGTAGTCTTTGCATATATCCGGTGCAAAATCCCATCTGACCGATTGTCGTATGAAGTTTGGTGCACGCATTGGTCCAACACGATTCCAACCAGATGCTGCATTGCCGCGAGCTGTATCCTTCTTCTCTTTAGCACCATACATTGCTGTACCCAAATAAACCTGAAAGTTTGCATGAATGGATAAATTTTTATGGACCGATGAGAAATCATTCAAATTGGAATTTTTACTGAATGTGAGGAACAACGAATTTTCGTCAACTACATACAGCAGATCAGCATTCATATTTAAAGCGTTTTCAATATTTGGGATTTGACTCAAGTGGATAGAAGTCTTCTTGACTTGATACTATCATATCCCAATCGATTGCTCATTGTTGACTCCCATTCTACCATACTACCAACCAAAACAATCTTACAGAAAATATCCCACCTTATCGTCATATCCTTCTTTCAGTGCTTTTTGAACTCTTTCGAACTGAGCTTGTGCATCTTGTTGTATATCAGTATCCATTTCATTCACGGCCGTCGCACCCAAATCCTTCGGTCCTTCACGTTCCGCTGTACCGCTTGACTTGAATGCACCTTCGATCTCACTCGGTCCTGGCTTTGCTTCTTCTGCATCATCCGGATTGCTCGACAATGAATCGGAACTCTCTGAATCCACTCGTTCTCGAATGCATTGCTTTCGTTTACTCGTCTGAAATTTTAAGGATTTCGAAAATTTACGATACTACGAATGCATCAATATCAAGAATGATTTAATCAAAATAGAACAAGTACTAGATATGTTATACTGCACTGGCTCAGGGCAGTTTAACATTGCCCTTATATTGTCAGAGATATTCCCATACCAGACTGGTATTTTTCAACTGGTATACATCCCACAAAACTGAATCCTTCAGCTCAAATGATACAATCCCTCCACTGCAGAATCTTTCTACACTATCAGAACCACAAAATAAAGATTTAGAAAACAAATACCGATTGAATCATTGGATTTTTACGTTGTGGCTTACGCACAACATTCACTTTAACAGAAGCAGCGTCAACGAGAGTGTCATTATCATTCGATGAATCCGACGATTCGTGAATATTTTGACGTTTACGAGTGGCTGCCGACTGACGAGCACCTCTCGTTCGCCTTCTAAACGCTACGACTGTTGTCGACTGCTGTTCGTTTCCATTCACCTCATCAGACATCTCAAATCTTGAAAGAAATTCTCAATTTATGAATACATATACGAAACCAAAGTGCGAACGTCAAAACGCACCACAAGCAAAACAAAATTATGTGCATTAGAAAATCTATAGAGTATACGACGATAATAAATAACACATATGCTAAACAACATTTCCCATCAATGACTATTATTTCTATTCTGTACATTCCTGAGCTCGTTGTGTCATTTATACACAAAAGTTTGAAATAATGCGCCATAATGTTGGCAAAAACCTCTGTGAAGAAAGCACTATTTGATTTTGAAAATGCACACAGATTGACTGCGCTAATCTCCAATTTATTTGGATGAATCAATGAAAGACGAACTAAAAATGATACGAGCAGAACAGTTATACATGATTACAAATAACTGACATGAGTGCATAAAAAAATCACAGTTTCACCAATGCATGAACTTCGTAGCATATCAACAAGGAAACAATCACACATACACACAGCTTAAACTTAGTTCTATATCAGGAACAACATTCGCATTATTTGAGCAAACAATTCAAAAACACTACCATACTGAAATAAAGTGTTAATTGCTGACAATAATGCCTCGCTGCTGTGGCCATTTTTCAGGATAAAATTGAAAACTAGCAAAACATTAGCTTCGAGGTATTTGAAGACATTAGCGAAGCCAGAAATGTAGTTCATCGTTTCGAGGTATTCATCAGAACAGATTTAAAAACCATGAAATGTTCTGGTCGCTTGAATGAGCGAACGATCAATGAACCTATGAAAAGTATGTTTAGGAGTAAAGGAATGCTTATTGCTAATGCAATCAAATAAATTTCGTTAAATCAGCAAGAGAATGAATGATGTCTTCGGATTGAACACCGCCTCGAGGCGCGTCTGAAGTGCTCATCGATCCCACGAACAAAAGCGCATTAGCGCCAGCTGCACGTGCACCATCGTAGTCTTTCTTGACGTTGTCACCAATATGCACCATTTGAGCGGTGCTGTCCAATTGGAAACGATTGGCGGCCAGTTGAAATATTCTCGGATCAGGTTTCTCAATGCCTATCTCGCCACTCAGCAACAACAGATCGATCAGGCCGACCAGTTTGAACTGTTCGAGCACTGATCGTAAACGTGAATCAAAATTGGATATCACACCAATGTGAACGCCCTTGCTTCGGATTCGAGTAAGATGCTCGGAAGCCTGAAACATTCCGGAGATTCGATAACCTGCCGATATCGTTCAACGTCAATCGTTTTCAGAACAATCGATCACCAAATCGGTCAATAATTTTTCAAAAAATTTACCCAGTTTCATGTCAAGAAAGCAACATCATGAAATAAGAACAGATTCGGATCTGAGCGTACAATGCAAGAGAATGCACCCAAAGTCGACCTGGATTTCAAAGCCAAGCTCTCACCTCTGCATCAATGAGTTGCCATGGCTCCGTTGTGCAGAAATGATTGAAAAGTTGCTTTGAAAAATCATCAAAATTTTCGAACTTCGTAGTGACCTCAAATGATGACTTCTTACTTCATTGGAAGAGGCGTTGAAACAAAGATAGTTTCGTTGCCAACTGAACTTATGAATTTGATGATCTCAAATGTACAGTTTCCTATCAAGAAAAACAACAACATATAATTCGAAACAGAATCGAACATACATTACAGTCATGCAAGATAAATTATTCATATAGGTTTGCAAATATGATGAATGAGAAGCAAATTCAAACTTCAATTGTTTCAGAAGTAAAACGCATAATCAGAATAAGAGAGAACAGACTTACATTAACATCTTCAAAACAATTCCGGATAATTTCAGACCACCACGCAAACGAGCCATCCTTTCCAAAACCGTAACATGGTTTTTGAACAGATAACAGTTTGAAATTTTTCATAAAAGCCGTTGTCAAAGCGTCAGCGTCACAATGAACTCCGAATCTCCTCGCGAAATCTGCATACGCGCCACCGACTGACTTCGGTATCCTTAACTATACACTCGATCACCCATTACGACAGGGCTCTCTCCACAAAGAACATGAAGGTGAGGTGGGATAAAATAAAACCGAAACAAGGATTTTTGGTGGGATGGTGAGAAATTTCCATTGAGATAAATTCCTACCCGATAACTGTATTCGTAGCATCCAGTGTGAGTAGTCGAATGGATCCTGACGGGAACGATGGCATAATGAATGAGGACCGTTCTTGAATTTTTCAACTGAAATTAGTAGATAGAAGTGGAATAAATATTAATGTATTGATGAAAAATTAATGACCGCAGGAAAAATCGCAATTTCGACGGAAAACATGTGAAATCACGGCTGGATCCCTACATGATTGCTTTGCGATGAACAATATTCAATAATCCTGAACAGCTGAACACTAAGTAATTGGATCAAA